TGGATTTCAAACAAACTTTCACTAACTTCAAGGCTTTTTCCTTGAATTGCGGCAGTCTCTGCAATTGAGCTATTGTCTGCAATGAGCCAAGAATCCACGACAACTGTGTGATTTGCGGTACAGAACTCTGTCGAAAGAGCAACGTTCGCGATGGATCAACTCCACAAGCTAATAAACTCATGGCCATTAATCGGATATTTCTGCGTAGCTAAAAGTTGAAAAGTAAGTTGGTGTTGTAAAGACTGTAACACACATGTCAATAGCCGAGCTAAGCCCATTGGTATGAAACAGTCTTGCTAAGACTCCAATCTGACTATATCTTTAGCCTTCCGCTCGCATTTTCTTTAGATGAGTAAAAGCGACAAAACCGATTTAATTAAGATTTAATGCCCAAAAACAATGTTGGAGAGAAATAATTTAAATAATGACGTAAAATGATGAATCGTTCATGATGCTGGCTACAGTAGGCCACATAAAGATTGAAAAATTGTTAAGACGTTTTTCAATTACTCCAAGAAACCTTCTAATCGCAGAAAAAAAGTGCTTTCTCCCAACGTTGTTGCTTTTTGATGATATATACAAAATCTCTACATGCTCTACAAGAATAGAGAACAACAAGGCAGACTTTTAAGTACCTTTGCTTGCGTTTAAGTAGAAAATTAGTACCTCTTTTGGTGCTTTCGGTCCTAAGGAAATTGCGTGCTGATCTGCTATTGCCAAAACCATCTTTGTAGTTGAAGGCAGAGACTGGAAATGCTTATATTCAATTTGAAATTTAGACATCAGGTCTACCTCCAGTGACAGAGGTTGGCCGACAGAAGAAGAGTAGCAGCCGAATATCCAAAAACGCACTTTTTGCAACTGAATCCATGGTTCAATAAAACCAAAATAATTTCCTAGATGAGGCACACCAGTTGGCTGAATACCAGAAAAATATAGCTCCGGATGCGATCGAACTTCACTGCAGAGATGGCGCACATTGCGCCACCACATTTTATACTGAAATGAAAGAAATGTTGCACAAGGGACTTTAAAAAAGGGAGCGCAAGGTGAAAACTCTCTAGCAATAAGTGAAATTAATTTTCAATGTTTTTTTTTGAGAC